GGAGGAATCTTTAACACTAAGGTGGGGGACCAGCAGAGAGGGCTAGAAGAAAATGCAGTAACAATAACTTGGTATTTACCACCCAACTGATACACTGCTGACATGATTCCCTGCCCATGATTTCTATCCCTATCCCATCTCCTCCCCAACCCCATCCCCATCCTCACCTCCATCTCCTCCTCTCAGACTGTCATTCTTGATCTGTAGGTGCCTTCCCAAGCATCTAAACAATGTAGAGGTTTCCACCATGTTAAATTATAACATGGGAGGATTTCTGGCTCCCATTGCACTCAGTTAACACAACTGAGTGCAGTGTTTGTCAGTGGGAGCTGGATGGCTACCAAACATATGGACCCCAATAATCCTTGCCTGGATGAAGACATAATTTCAGGCATATCCACAAAGTACATTGCAGGTAGCCATAAGCTTGCAATATAAATCCTTTGTGAAGACAATGAGCCATAGGAATGCATGAACACAGTACCATGCTCACAATAATAAGCCTTGTTGGGGTCACAGTGCCTGGCAAAAATTGCCACATGTTATAATGGGGTGGGCTCTCACACTGCTAATTCAGAACACTGAGCTGAGTGTGGCCAGCCATTCACTGTGCATATGATTGCCATCTTCTGTGGTCTCAGGCAGTCTAAGGGGATAGAAGTGCAAAACTGGGAGGACTATAGCCACATGCAAAGCCTCACTGAGATATCCTGTATAATTCACAGCTCTTTGTTGCATTATTCTTGGTTTGTGTCAGCACAAAGGAGAAGAAAATCAAGTATTTTCCTTCTAGACATTGTGAAGTCTGAGGAAAAGACTCAGCAGAAAGAGGAAAGATTTTGGAGAATGAAGGAAAGAGGAGGAAAGCTGAAAGCCTCTGAATTGCTGTGAATGCAGGGAAACTGGGTGAGATGCTGTGGGGAGCAGATAAAGAGAAAGCTGGCCACACAGCTCCTCTTGAAGTGGAGAAGAAGCAGCTCAGCATCACTTGCTGCTCTAGTCAAATGTCAGTGAGGTAACTTCCACCAAAAGAATGCCTCCTGAGGGGGGAGAAAACAAGCAGAATGTCAGGGCCAGCTGGCAGCTTGAGAAAAAAAACCATACAATTAAACAGCACCACTGGGAGCACTGGACGCCTGCCCCTGCCTCCTCATTGTCACTCTTCAGGGCTTGTCAGAAGAATAATAAAAGGTTCTGTAAAGAGAAGACAAATCTCAGGCAGTCGGAACAGCAACAGGATCAGCCAGAAGGGATAGTATTCAGATCTAGATCCCTAAAGCTATGTGAGAGCATTTAGAGGCTTGCAGAAGTGTCTGGCTTTAGAGACGTGCTTTCTGTCTCCAAAGGTGACAAGGCAAAGGGAGGGCCTGCTCACGACCCCTCAATGCACCAGGGTCAGGCTCTTCCACTGATCAAAAATGCGTTAGGATTGGGCTGTCTCTTCATTTTCTAGCAGTTTTCATCTATCAGAGTGCTGGAGAAATGTTGGAGGACAGAATGGTACCTGTCAGCCCCTGGTCTGGAAATCTTCACATAGCAGCTTCAATCAGGTCCCAGACTGCATCCACTTTTGCACCTCTCTCTTTTAGGACCAGCACTGTGAAGTTTTCCCAGTATATCAGAATACGCCACTGTGAGAAGCACATCACAAATGTGGCTCACTAAAATCCTTCATTTTAAATGACTTGATCAGCAAAAGTTACCTGCTCAGTCTTTAGAGGAGCCAGAGATGAAATTTCACCCAGGCACGGAGATAATTTTCACTGTCTCCAAAACAAGAATCCTTGGACAGATTCCTCCAAGCAATAAAGGCTAGGAAGGAAATCATTTTTGAAGGCCAGAAGATCCTATTCTTTCCAGATTTAGGCACAGTGATAAACATCAAAAGGAAACAATGGATACCCACTTCTGCAGGTGTTTCCTTCATACTTAGCTGCTCTCCTCCAGCCTGTTGGGAATACTGTTCTTGTCTATTGTTTGGTAAATTCCAAGAATCATATTTATATCCATTATGTGTAGGACTGCGTGCTGGGTAGAAATTCCCCTACGCAGTTGCATGATTCTGCCAACTGGAACACTGGGGAAGCCAAACCCCAGCTAGGTTCCTCAAACCAAAATTCTAAGACTCAAAATCACTTCACAGTTCAAGACAATGTCAGGTTCCTCTACGAAGAAAAAGGAAACCAACAACTGTTTGTCTTCATAGACATTTAGTTTTCTAGTGTTAGAAACACTTCTTTACACCTACCTTCATCATGCCAATAATACTGCTGCAGCTGACCTGAAATAATATGCCAAATAACACAAATTTGAAAAGCCTACCCAAAGAGAGGCCTTAAAAATATTTCTAACCAAAAAGATGGTGGAACAAAGACGTTGAGTAAACAACTCATCTGATGAGCTCTAGCCCTGGAATAGCAGAGGTGAACAACAGAAAGATAATTTTTGGAAATAAAAGTGAGATCAGCAAATATTTGAGAGATATCAAGCTTGGCATATCAATATGCACATGCCAATAGATTAAGCAACATTTTTGAGTGTGTCACTCTAATTTTCTGTTTATATGTTACATGTGTAATATATACACACATACATACTTACATACATACATATATATATATGTGTAATAGCTACTCTAAAGCAGCATTTCCATGGACACTACTTTAGTCTGTCCACTGTGGGAAAAAAAATGTAAGCAGTACCATTTTACAAACAGGGAAATTGAGTCACTGAAAGATAACATACGTTTCCTAAGGAGTATGGCATTACATAAATGGGAAAAGAAAGCTGTAAAAACTTTCAGTGAAGTTTTTTCTCCCCCCAGGCAAACTACCTTTACATACACATGGCCACATACTTGGCCACTGATGTTCACACTCAGATTACAAAGTCCCATAGCTCTGCTGAAAGGAATAGTTTCACGATGTAGCTGTGGCTTGTCTGGGAAGACATCACAGAATCCAGAGAAATACTTGAGATTCCTAGTTTATGCCTTCTCTGTTCTGTATTTCCCAGCTTGCATGAACAACTGTACCATTAAAATAACAAAAGGAATATCCACTAATCAATAGCAAAGTTAAATTGTAATGACAGAAATTTCATTTAATGACATAAATTCAGGTCTCTGAATTTTACAAACTTCTTGAAATTTGAGCAGCAAAAAAAAACAAACTCAATCATTGCTTGCACCACACAAAGAATAAAAGTCACTTGTAAGTCAAAGCTAGTGTACATCTGTGCAGACACTGATACAGCCCACCAAAGCACAATTAGCTCTTTTAATTCACTCTTCCAATACACCCTCTTTTATCAATAAACTTATTTTCCTTTAGTGTGTGGGACAATAAAACATTGAGCTTTGTCATGGTTTTATGATTTTTGGTCATCAGTATTCCACACCATAACATCATGTAATGCACTGGGGGTGGGGTTTGATATCTGCCGAATGTTCGTCCGTCGGAGAAGAACTACATTTCCCCAGGAGACTTTGCGGTCAGCAAGGGGATATAACTCCAAGCAAGGTCACCTGATCCTTCTTCTTCGCCTGCTCTTCGCTGTCTGCGCTTCGCTACCTGTGCTTTGCCGCCTGCGCTTCGCCATCTGCACTTCGCCGTCTGTACTTCAGTCACTCAACTGGACTGCACTTCTCACCCCAGCATTGTGGTGAGGTCTATACAATTCAAACAGACTCTCTCTCTCTCTCTCTCTCATTGTATTTTACTAATACTATATTTAGTAAAATCATTTGTTCCACCTCAGATCAGTGCCGTTGTTTTCAAGTATTTTGGGGTCCCCTGCTTCCCAGCCATGGATGACTTTACTCTCACAACAACCCATGGATGTCCATCACCTGTATTGCTCTCATTTCTGAGAGACCAAGCAAAGTTCACAAGGCCAAACATCAGACCTCAGATCTCCAGACCTTTGGAACTTCTTTTCATTACCCCATGCACAAAACAAATCTTCCTCATGCTTCCTCCAATCTTCTCCAAGCACTTTACATGTCAGTTCTATAAAACTAAAGCATGTGCTTAAGATTAACAATCATATTCTATCAGGCACAGCAAGATCATTCACAGTGCTTAGAACAGAGTAGGTGGGTGAGGCTTTGTGGGTTGGCAATGTCACTTGGCCAAGGCTCTCTGCTGCTGCATAGAACTGAAATGAGATGTGTGAGGAAGGTTGACTTGTTTACAGCATCCCTATAATTAATAACCATACTGGAAAATGTTTGCAGATATTCACATACCAAGTTCTGAAGCATGACACACATTTGATTCATGTCCTACACACGCTCTCCAATACATAAAATTTTCAGTGGCCTGGAGTTTGTCAGCCTGTTGATTCTGCTGAAACATATGTTGGTCTATTGAGGGAGCTGCGTGATGAGCAATTTCTCAAATGTCCCAATTTGGAAATGCAGCTACAGTCACTGTTTTAGGGGAAGTGCTGTGTGATTGAAAGCTGAAGCTGCACCATGCAGTTCAAATTAGATTTGGACATTGTGTGCACTGTCAATTTGGAGAACTTTTCACATGCTTGCCAGCAGTTTATAGGAAATATGGGCATGAGGCATAGACAACATCTAGTCCTCCAGCTTCCATTAAGTTTTATTCAGATAAACCTTTGAAACACAAAGAGATGGAACCTTGAATGCTGACAGGGAACATACAAAAGAGCAGGGCTGGAAGGAATGAGAGAACAGCTTATTCCTGGATAATCTCTGTTCTTCATGTGATCCATGCACTGCTGATCTCAGTTATTCCTGGGAGTGCGGAAACCAAAACTAGCAGCCTGCAGGTCATTTGAAAGAAGGAAATCAAATCAGTAGCTATTTGGAACCAGCTACTTCTTTCTCACAACCTCACTCATTTCATTCACCAGCTACTCTTCTGAAAGGTGGCAAAACAATAAAACACACCCTTGTTTTCCTTTTCTTTCCTTCTCCAATCTTTTCTGCTTTTTTCGGGTGGGGGGTGGGGGGGTGGGGGGGAGGGTAGGGGGTTGCAGAAGTGTGAAAACATCTAGTTGCATCTATGGCTTCATCCAGCACCCTTTGCTCTTGGAAGATTTGGGGGCCTGGACAAGGCTGGATTCAGAAAGGCCTTCACATTGCCTGAAGTCCTGCTGATTTCACTGCAAACTTTTTCCAGTGCTTGTTAAAGATTAGGGTGCTGTGAGCAATTTTCTCTTCAATGCAGATGTTTAAATTCATCACAGCAAAGAAAACTCGAGGTGAGTTGAGGCCCAATTGATTCCAATGGGATTAAGCATTTGTTTACAGGCAGGCATGTGTATAAACACCTTCCTGGATTACAGCCTTACATCTAAGGCAGTTCGAAATGATTGTGCTTGTGTTGTGCAGAAACAGGGTCTTTATTGTCATTCAGACTGAAGTCCAGAGTCTTCTCTTTGCTTTAATAGTTCCACTGAAGGACATTTTGGGTTCCTAGAGGAAGTCTGACTTCTTGCAAGTCAAGATGATTTTTTCCATGCTCTGCAATGTAGTTAACATTCACTTTCATCTACACAGGAGAATAGAAAAGATCAAGTTGACTAGGATGGACACTCCTCTGCACTACTATTTTTTATTATTATTACTTATTAAAAAAAAAAGAAAGAAAAAGAAAACACAACAAAAAACATACTTTTTAGAAGTTCTTATTTGATGAAAAACCGAACAGCATTTTTTACTTTTTGTGTGTGTGAGTTTGGAAGTGAGTTTTAAGCAAAAGTATTTATCTGTTTGTGCTTTCATGACTGAGCTGGCCTTCTACCAATTACATGTGAATTATGCACTTACATAGCAGCACAAGACATCATAGAATATAGCAGCACAAGCCACGTATCATCATACTAACGTGTTCCACCACTCTCTTTTCTAGTAGAACACAATGAAGCCAAAGCAAATGAGGGGGGGAAAAAAAAAGCTTCCAAAAATAATTAAAAAGTACTTACTTGTGGTCTGATACAATGTGGAGTGAACTCAGTGAAATTCCTTCTGCTGGTTTCAGTGGGAAATGAATTAGGTCCTTCTTTCCTATGCATGGAAACCAGATAGCCAAGGCTGTTTTCTTTTGTTGTTCTCAGCAATTTAATTTAATTTACTCAAATTAAAACTATGCCCCTTTTTCGTATGTCTTTCACTAGCAGGCAGCAATGAAATTTAGTCCCTTCTCAAGCTCTCATCTTCAAGTTAGCAGTAGCAAATGCAAACAGCTGGGATGAAGTAGAAAGCCACAACCCAAGAAGAAAACAAACAAACAAACAAGCAAAATAATTAGATATGAATATAACAACAGCTTTCTGAGTGATGACTACAAAAGTCTAAATCATAGTGCCAGTTGAAGAATTCTAGGTGAAGTCTAAACGTCCTACCCAAGTTGACCACCTGTTTAGGGGAAGGCTTTTATGAGGTGCAGCCTTAATGTTCCTCAACCAAGATTCTCCATGTCGCAAAAGGGACAGCTGTTCCTTTTCTACCCTGTCTTTATTCTGATCTTGTTCCTCCCTTTGGGACCTTTGGGACATAATCAGAGGTCAGTTAACAGCAATGCTATCTTCTGCAGCAATACAACATGCCAGTCAAGACAAGTACTGAAGGAGGGTCTGGACAGACACTCAGAAAAACCTAGGTTCTCTACTCACTCTATGAGGAAAAGTGAAAGGACAAGTGCAAAGCAGGTGGGGACTGGTTACACATAGATTTAGGACTCTGACTCATGGCTGTGGATAGATTTAGCTGGGTTAGTTAAGGCAGCAGTTGCCTCAGCTGTTTGCCTCAGTATCATGCCAAAGGATATTTTGGGCCTTTTAAGGGAGATGGGGACCTGGTCTTGTCCCATAAGGACTCCATGGAGGTGAGGCAGTTCAGGGACAGGTACACTCCCTGCTCAACCTCTTGGTCTTCTCTGTCTATACATAGGACCCAGAGATCCAGGTGAAGAACATCGTAGGTGGTGAACACACAAATCCATGCATATAAATTTTTGTAAAAAAGTGAATGGTTTGTTGCATGTACCTAGAAAAAGATGGTTTTCAAGAAATATATTATTCACTGTTAGAGGTCGGTAACAAAATTTCTCTGAGGATTTTTGAAGTAATGACTTTGGGGGACCACAGGTTTTGTAATCTAGCTCACAACACCCAAAGCGCTTCTATAAAATAGGTCAGATGCTTAACATCTTATGAAAATGACACACTGTAAGTTCAAAAATGAGTATCAGTGCTTTCTCAACAGTTAAGTCATGTTTCTGAATCCACAGACTGCTACTTCCACACAATAATGACAAAGTACAGAAGAGTAACATCAAAATTTGTGTCTATCAGTGCACAAGTAGCACAAATTAATTCACTGCCTTTACATTCAGGAACAAAAGAGGTAGAAGTGGTAGAAAAACTGCACCAACACATGGCTCTCTCCATACACAAGCAGCAAAAAATATAGCACAGTCTGTACATGAGGAGACAAAAGAGGCAGACAAGGCTGGCTGTGTAATGAATGAGAAATGCTGTGAGCTTTGCCACAACCTCTCTGTGTTTTGAGATGATTCAGCACTTCCTTCAGCAGAGCTCCACTTTCACTGCCCAGTTCCAGCCCCCATATGAAGCAGCACAAATTATTCTCAGGCTAAAATATTTAAATGACAGCTTAAGGTTCAGTTAAGCCTGTTCCTTCCTCAAGAACTACCAGAAAAAGACCCATGCTCCTTTGTTCAGGCTGTGAACATTAGAGAAAAAAAGGTCTCCAGCTGGTTTAAAGAGGTAGGAATGGCTTGCTCTAGTTATCAATCAATCAATCAATCAATCAATAAATAAATACATATATACATACATACATACATAAAAATAAAAATAGACACTGTAGCTTACACTGCAGCGATGCAACAATGCCAATAAGGCACTGCTAAAAGCTGATTATACCACTTGAAGTCTGGCAAAGACCAACAACTGGAAAGTTGGAGGAGAAGAATTGTCATACACCAGAAGCTGGGCGTTAAAATGAAACTGGTGCTGTGACGTTATGTCACATATACAAGCAGGAGGATACTGCCTGATGGGGTGTGAGAGCAGCATAACCCATCTAGAGCAGAAGTAGCAACCACCCCAGGTGAGGCCAGGGACACAATCTGCTGTGGATAAAATAGTTTCATAGAACCTCCAGCTTGGTCCTTGGATGGACCTGCCACCTTCTTGCTCTTGCAGCCCAAGCATTTTGCCTTGCATCTTACTGGGATGACTGCTAAGCACTTAGAAGATTCATATCCACTAGAGAAGATCTAATCAGCACTGGGAGGCCCCAGGAAGCTCCTGAGGCTGGCCATCACTGAACATGAAGGCCTGCTGCAGGCAGGCAGCTGTGCCTTTGGCAGGTTGGCAAGGATGAGCCAAGGGCAGTTCCTAAGAAGTCAGGCTGGCTTCTGTGCTTTGGGCAGGTTTTAGGTGCATATAGTCAACAGCCTGCCAGGATATAGCTTTAAAGCAAACATGAGTACATCTACCTCAGCCTGGAGACAGAGAAGTGACAGCGGGGTAGACATACCTTGCAGCTAGCTAATTCAAATACTTCATTATAAGGCACTAGCAAGACTTTTTAGGGCCTCCACTGCATTTTCTCTAACTAATCAAGCTGAAGGCTCAGCATAGACCTTACTGCCAAGGCAGAGTACCAAGTGTCCTGGACAATGGCTTCTTCTGGGTAACCCAGCCAGTTTTGCTAACAAGGACAGTCCATTTTGAAGTGATGAATGCTATGTTATTGGCTGAAACTTGTTAGACACACTGAATTCTCTCAACATGATCTCCTAATAGAAGAGAACAGAATACAAGCAGGCTGGTATTTTCCTGCTAGTGCTTTCATGAAGAAACAGAAAGCCCTAAGAAAGTATGCCTGCTGGTTCCTTGCCTGTGTTACCCACACTGGGCTCAGTGCTGACAGAGTTTGTAGAGATGTTAGGAAATAATGTGTTTTTGGAACACTAAAACTATCATTGCCTCTGATTAAAACAATCCAGCTCCCAGTTTGGTATAGTCATGATCACATACTGTTCTAAACATATATTCCAGCCTCTCTACTTATGTTCCCAGTTTCATATCCGAAACCCATGATTTCACAAAGGTCACTTACACACCTTAAGAGCAGCAACATAAAATTACCTCCAATGTGGGTCTGAAAATAGCCTTAGCCCCTCTTCTTCTTTGTGTGTTGAGGAGTGTGTGTTTGCACATGTATATGTTCTTGAGTTGACATCTATTAAAGACTGAACTCATTTATGTCAAACATGCCACCTACAGGGAGTGTTTTGGAGAAGCCAAGTTACAGGAGATAGATAAAAAAGAAGAAGAAGAGGTAATGAATATGGAGTGTAAATGCCTTAGCAAAGTAATGGAGACATGTACTAACAGCAAGTGAAATTTGACCTTCTGGCTGAAAACCTGATAGCAAACCAATTGGAGAACTTTAGAAAATTGGATCAGCCTCAGTGGGCACAGAGTAAACATTGGGAGTGCAATACAGTCTTATTAAACATAATGCACATTTAATGCATAATTTTATTGCAACCAATTTCATGCTACCGCCTTAAATGAGTCTGGGTCTACTTCCACTGTAGCAGTCCACTACCATTAGTGCCTCTTAAAAGAATTGCAAGGCCAGTAAACTATCACTGGTCTGATCTCTCCCTTAGCCCATACTTTCTGCTTCATAAACTCTCCCAGCTCCCACTGCTTGTAGTGAGATCTTGTCTTCGTTCAGTACATGGCTTTTGAAACACTAAACTGTTTTGGCAAGTCTTTCACAGATGGGAATGCTACAACATTTCCATTTTATGCTGGTGCAGTAAAGCAGTGAACCTTTGCAGCTATAGATCAGTCATCTGAATCCCAGCCTCACAACAAGAGTTCCTGGAACCTATACAATCAGCCTGGTGCTGAAGATTTCTCAAGCACAGCAGGCAAAATCCTATTTTTCTAAGTGACAGCAATAGTGTTTGCCCTCTGACAGGAACAAGGAATAAGGAAAACAAATGATGCTGAGTGCTAAGAAAGTGAGTAGCCTCCTCATAGACAGTGTATGGCCAGATTAACACGAAAGAAACTGCAAAGATGGAACAGTAAGTGCTTAGTTTATACTAAAAGAGTATGGAAATACTGCTTGCTGAGATTTTCATAGACTTCAGAATTGTTACTTGCACCTTATAGAAATGCTGTCAAGATAACAGAAGTTTCAGTATCATCCTGGGACTTTTCAGGTATCAGAGATGTCCTATCTATAGTTGAGCTTGGATTTTCAATGTCCAGTAACTTCACTGAGTCATGAATATTGATCTGAGCCCATATCTAGATCTGAGATTGCCCTTCATGTCCTATTGCAGTGACCTGGGAGTAACAGAATCTATCAATGTGTACTTGCAGCTAGGAAATCCAATGATATCCTGGGCTCCATAAAAATAAATAGTGTCAGCAGTCTGAAGGTGGTGATTCTCACTTTCAATACCACTTTTTTTTGTGAGAACTTACCTAGAGTACTGCATACAGTTCTGGGGCCCCAGCAAAAGAAAGTTATGAGCTTGTTAGAGTGGGCCCAGGAAGGACCATGAAGATGATCAGAGGGCTGGAGCACCTCTGCTGTGAAGATAGGCTGAGGGATTTAGATTCTTTCAGCCTGGAGAAGAGAAGGCTCTGGGAGATCTCTTTGCAGCCTAGCAATGCTTATAGAAGGCTTTGGAAAGAAATATGGGGAAAGACTCTTTACCAGTGATAATGCAAAGAGTACTGATTTTAAATTATAAGAAAGAAGATTTAGATCAGATTTTAGGAGGAAATTATTTACTGGCACAGCTGTCCAGAGAAGCTGTGGTGCCCTATCCTGGGAGGCGCTCAAGGCCAGGTTGGATGGGGCCCTGGGCAGCTGAGTTGCTGGGGGGCAATCCTGCCCATGCAGGGTGGTTGGAACAGGGTGGGCTTTAAGCTCCCTTCCCACTCAAATCTTTCTATGATTCTATGATTCAATGATATTATGAAACATACAGGGGTCCATGA